TTCTGTTTTTTAGGTGGTTTCCAGCCTCCTCTGTCAGTGGACCCTGCAACGTGTCCCATTATCCCTGGACAGGAAATGATTATAGAAATATCCAAGGGCCGTTCAGGGCTTGGTCTCAGCATTGTGGGAGGAAAGGACACACCCTTGGTAAGTTTCTAGACATGAAGTATACCCACCATCTCACACAAGTATCAGAGGGGCTTTATCTAACAAGTGCAGTTAGTGTGACCTAAGTCTTTGCACCCTCATTGAATCCCAAACAATAAAAAAAAAAGAAAAGGAAAGAAATCTATCCGTTGTCACAGAAGTGGTTGCTGAGCCTCGTGATGGCCCATGGTGCTTCTTGGCTTCTTCATGGTACGGGAGAAAAGTGTAATTATAAATAGACGTGCACCTGCATTCTAACTGGGTTTTCTCAGTGTTTTAACCAGCATTTTCTCCATCTAGGATATTGAATATTTTTATAAATGCTTATTAGACCAACAACATCACAGCATTTAGAAGTATTGTAACAGAGCCGGCCTCAGTGGCTTACACCGGTAATCCTAGCACTTGGGAGGCTGAGGCGGGTAGATTGCCTGAGCTCACAGGTTCGAGACCAGCCTGAGCCAGAGCGAGACCTCGTCTCTAAAAATAGCTGAGCATTGTGGCTAGTCCCACCTACTTGGGAGGTTGAGGCAAAAGAATTGCTTACGCTCAGGAGTTTGAGGCTACTATGAGCTCTGATGCCATGGCACTCTACCAAGGGTGACAGAGTGAAACTCTGTCTCAAAAAAAAAAAAAAATGTATTATAACAGGATTTAAGGTAGTGCCTGGCACTTAATCACTGTTCTATAAGTAAGAACTATTGTTATTACTCCCATCTTCATCATTATGTAATGGAATGCTAGATTAGAAATATGCATCAGGGCGGTGCCTGTGGCTCAATGAGTAGAGCACCAGCCCCATATACCAAGGGTGGCAGGTTCAAACCCAGTCCCGGCCAAACTACAACAAAAAAATAGCCAGGGCTCGGCGCCTGTGGCTCAAGCAG